TACTTTGGATCCCGAAATGAATTTGAACAGACAAGTCAGAAGACAAACACTGCATGAGGCATTCCCTTCGTATACTCTCATCGGTCGCGTACGTATAACATCGAAGAAGGTAGGCAACTGAAGCGAAGTGAGAAATCTAATTAATATTAGCCATGTGTGTGTGTATGCGTGTGTGTGGTTGTTTACAGTGTGTGTGATGCACGTGTCTATCTTGTTCGATGTTATACGTACGCGACCGATGAGAGTATACGAAAGGAATGCCTCACGCAGTGTTTGTCTTCTGACTTGCCTGTTCAAATATCTACTTTATTTTTCGATTATTTTAAATACTAAAAGCTATTTGGGACCTTTTGTTGAAGCGAATGTTTTTCGTTTCGATGTAATCTGTTTCAACCATACAATGAGGTTTGCTAATTATAAATGACCATCGCACAACTTTATTCATCGCTTGACACTACAACAATGAAGAAAATTCGATGAGTGGATATTATGAGATCATGGTCCTCTGATTAGACGGTAGGGGGAAATATTACACGAAAGAAAGAATGGTCCCACGAAGCCGACCCAAACGATCTTCGTATTTACCTGCAATGCATTAAAATTTCTCTGCAAACAATCCATACCAGATGCACCTCTCGTACGCGGTTTTTCTTTTTTTGGGTTTTTGTCATTTGCATCATCGACGTTCTCATCCTCATCCTCACCCAGATATTCCACGTTGTCTTCCTCTTCCGCATCACAGAACGCAGCCAAATCTGCCAAACAGACCTCGAACACTCGGGGCTCGAACGCGACACGCTTGGCTCGTCCGTGAACAACACGTAATACTTCAGTCTCACAGGCGGGTGACAATCTATCGGTTAGATTCTTGGTTGGCATCTCGTGTTCAGAGCGGTGATTATACAGACAAGTGAGCACAAAAGGATCCGGTTTTGAACGACTAGTCCAGGGGTTTTTGGGCAAAGTGCATAGCTTCCCAGCATCCACGGCGCATGCTCTATAATACGACGGATTCATTGATGTAAGTATAACAGAGAGGGAGAGAGAGTAAACCAAAGTATGGATAGCGAGCAAAAAAGGTTAGGTTGTAAGTTAATTAGGAATGTCGTAATTTTTGTGATAATTATTTGATAAGAAACCAGTGGTAGGTGGGTGAAGGGTAAGTCAAACCGATTATGGTAAGAAAATTAATTGTGGTTCACGAGATATTAGTCACCCACTTGATTGTTATCAGCCAAAAACCGATGGGTCTCGTGTGCCACAGTTAGAAAACCTCATTCGCATCAAATGATTTAAGCCCCTGAAAACATGTTCACACCCACTTGCATTGCCGAGCGTAAAACGATTGACAAGTATGTTCGAGAACATGCGCTAAATATATATATATATATAAAGGGTCGTATCAAATAATTACTACCCTAAGTCTGATCTCAGAATTGTCAAGTCGCTGTGATGAGGATAGGGCTTCGTGCGTTCGCCGTGGGTTGTAGTCAATTCTAATGAGTGAAAACTAACTTACCCAACTGTCCAGGGTAAACTGTATCCCCAATAAAGCAACTAGGTAAAAAAGATATAGTATACGACTTTATGCGTGTGTGATGCCTATTTTAGTATGTCAGTACGACGGGAGAAAAGCAATCGTTCTGACTAAATTGCCTAAGCTCCCGAATATTATTCTGGAATATTGAAGAAAAAGTTTAAAATGAAATCCATCGGGCGACGGGACATCATTCAGTTTCATCCATGCTCCAATTGCACTTCTGTTGGATAGGTGCCATTTCGACTTTCATCGTCTAACCCCAGCTGCCGGTCGCTGTTGGTCAGATCTTTAATTGTTTTGTTTTTTCATTTTTCGCATCAAGTTTCAAGGTTTCTATTTTTTTGAGACCGGAACAGTATACAAGCAAACGATCTGACACTAAATTTGAATTGCTCTGAGTGTGTCGATTACACGTTCGTTGCTCATTGTCTGTGTTCGTGCTAACGTAGCTGGGGGAAGGCTATGCTCTGATCGTAATCGTGGGGCTAGACGACTTGTGTGGTACGCTTTCCGTAGTGTTCGAACCGACCTCGTATATCCGTGTATGTGCGCGCGCGTTCTGTTATATCAAGCACTTCAACTATGAGCGCCCAATCTGTTTCTCGTCCATCATCAGTAGTGAGTGTCACCATTACTGTGTTGTGTTGAATTGTGTTTTGGACACACTGTGTCTCATGCCATTTCTGTGCTATTATGTCAGTTTCTTATCTGTGTTGTATGTTATTTAGGAGTGGTCGTGAACGACACAAAAACTTCCAGAAAAGCATTGTGGGGAAAGGGGTCAGCAATAACACAAACTTCCTGTATGACCTACTTCGACACTGTGCGCAAGATGTGATCAATCCTACATCAGATTAGCTGTAATATGCATTCATGTAATAGAAAATTGATTGTTAGCACGTTCCCCGTCAATAAACCATCTGACAACATTCGAAGCATTATGTACAACTATCTTATGCTCGTTGGGAGTAATCAGCGGTGTACATTCACTAAACATATGATAGCTTGAAATAGGACCTCAAGAGCTGCTCCTCTAGCAGATAGTAATACAACCAGGTTACTCCGGCAGTGTTGCGAAATAGCCTTCCGGTAGTCTTAGATCACTACTACCGGGTAAACGCGCATCAATCAGTCAGGTCTATTCAGTTTNGTCTCTTGGGATTGCGATGTCCACTGACCTCCTGCGGAGGATACATAGTGCATTATCGGTTGAGCTAATCAATGTCAGAGAACGTGATTACCTCGTTGGCTTATACTTGGAGACAGGAGGGTAAGGCAATTAAAAACAGAGGATTATGATGAACCTGAGTTTGCATTTATCGTGTATGCATACGAGGAGGAATTTGGTGCATGCACATGGATGTGGACGCTCATTTGTTGCGAAGATATGCGCTTCTGTCTTGACACACCTTGACGTGCTCTACGTGTTTAGACAAGTGTTAATAGGAATGAAACAGAGGTGGTAGATTCTTTACCTTCGTGCAAAAGCCTTGGTCCGGCCAAACTAGTAGGTCACCTTTTATGCTCAAGTGACGAAGAAGTGAGTATTTACAGTCTCAATTAACCCGTTTTTTCTCTAATTTGTTTTTAGAACGAGTCCCAAATATCAGTAACTACGATGAGAGCAGTATATTATCGGTGAACCTCCAATGAAATGCATAGGTAATTTAAATGTTCTTTAATTTATTTGAAAAGCTCACTTATTAGGTTCCTACCGTTCATACAAATGGGCAGCCAAAAGACAGCACGAAGGTGCACGGTTGATGGTTGGACAAAGTGAACTCTTTAGGTTCAGCATTTTTAAGGGGGTGGGGGTGGCAGGTACAATAACTTTTAAGCAGAAACATGAAACAAGCACATTCACTATGAAAGATTCAAATGTCGAGAGGGCTACATTGCTTTTGTCGTCGTAAAATAACTTACTGGTACAAATTCTCATCCAGTGTGATGTCACGTGTGACAAAGTAGTACAATTCTCGAATATGTACACGACAAGACACGGACATGATTGGATCATCTTGATGATCGAACAGGCAGTCAAACGCCCGACCGTGATCCGCACGGTCGACAGCACATTTGGTGGTCAGAACGGAATGGCACACGTGAGTGATGACAGGATCGAGTAGAATATTCTCCTCCACGTCGGTCAACTGAGTTTTGATAAACGATTGGGGTAAGTGGTAGAGAGGAAGGAGAACCAAGACCCGTGAAGATCCGTTAGCAAGGGATGAGTAACAACTAACTTGAACTGCATCAATTATTCGAACAACAAACTATATTAAATTCTACCAGGCATACAGGAAAAGAAATGAAACGAAAACAACATGAGTGAGTGATCATCATCATGAGTAAAACATTCTCCTGAAATCAGCATGGTTGATTCAACACCGGAAGACGGAACAGGAAACGAACATCTCCAAGGTCCATTGAAACTCAAAACCATATGAATCCGATAGCATATATATATATATATATATATATTCGTCACAACCTTGTTTGCAACACCGGGTGACCATTAGATAGACAGCTCTTTCAGAGCCAGTCCATTGGGAATCAATGTTATGATTCAATATTTCTCCAATGGACTGTCTCTGAAAAATCTGTTTATCTAATGTTCACCCGGTGTTGCAAACAAGGTTGTTGTGACGAAAATACACATCCTGGATACAAGTATATGAATGAACTGGTAATAGACTATCGGATACGCATGCCTGACGAGCGGCAAGAACCGCGAACCCGGTAGTGTGCTTCCAGGGAAATTTTGTCCAGTCTTTCACATACTACTTATTGTAATATGTATATATATATATATATATATATATATATATGCAGCGAAAGAGACCAACGTATATAACATGGGGGAGGTATAGGCGTAAAACCAGCCAATTACAATTGTTCTTTTGAGCTTCATGGAGCGTATCATTGATGATCAATACTGAGTGTCATTAACTCCAATAAAAGAATCATCAATGGATAGGTAAGTAGATTACATCACCAACTCCACTGTGACAATTTTGCATGAATATAACCCGCTTGTGCGTTTCTAACGATGGAAACTGGCAAAACAACTGCGGTTAAAAGCAAATATAAATATTTCAAATGGGAATTCGTCGTGTATATAGCAAATGAAGCGTGAACTGAAAAGCTCGGAAGCACTGGACAGCTGTTTCGACCTGGTTGGGTCTCATCAGCAGTGCGAATCCATCGACCCGACTGGGGATCGAACCCGGGACTTCATGGGCAGAACGCAAGCGTGCTACCCACTACGCCACCGAGCAGCTGATCAGGCCGTTTTTCATTTTCCATTTACACGATATGGCACAACCCATCTTTGAAAGTTTCTTGCGGGCCACGGACCCTGCTCAACTCAGCACTAGCCTCCGGGGTTATGACTCGGTTGGAAACATTCACAACCTGACTGATTATTTCATGTGA